TCAGTGCTTTCCGACGAAAGTCAAAATACAGCTAGCTGTTGGTGAGTGCTTTTGAACTGAAGAAGAGTAAAAGATTGCAGGTAGATTACTAAATCATCCAAACAGATTATGCTCTGACTTGGAAAAAGCTCTGAGAGGAAAATAATGATTTGGACTCAGGAATTTATAATACGTAAACACTATACATGATTATTAAGTCCTTTTTTTCTATGCACATCTGAAGTGCTTTCTGACCAATCCTGTTCAGGCAAACTAGGAATAATGGGGTCTTTAAATGCTTTTGTGCTCATGGCAGGTCCTCAAGAAATGACCAAATAGCCAATGGAAAATATCTTTTTCATATTCGGTCCTCACTTCAGATTCTGACTCTTCCAAGTCAATCCTCCAGACTATGTCACTGGAAGCCGGGTAAAAACTAAGAGATCTCAAATTCACCTCCACCATCTAATCAAGTTTCAGTTTGCAGGTGATCCATTCCTCTCCTATGGAGCAAAGTGCGTAGGTTTTGCTGTTGCTCTTTTCTTCAGAATCAGAATAATCTTTGATTAGCTTCTGGGAGTTGAAATTTATTCTAGATACTGAAATTGCCTGCTCTTTAACTGTCATACAAGGATGAGTATTTAATTTTTTTTGAAGGGGAGTGAGGCCAGTGTCAAATTTGCCACTAATGCCAATATGCTTAAATATGATTTGATTATGTATTGCCATCAACTCGTCGAGTCGAAGTGTTCTTTTTACATCCATTTTATAAGGCATACAGTATACTTGAGAGGAAAATCACTGCTTATAAAGTTTCTTCAATTCATTCTTCAATTCTGTTTCAAGATCAAAGAGACCTTCTTGCTATGAAGAAAATATTTATTGTTGTGGGATAAATCTTTAAGAACAAGTTGTAGCTACTTAATATGACCAGTATTGAGCATTTCAACAGAATGGCTTGAATAGAACACATCAAAACGTGGACCACCACAGCCAGACACAAGCTTTTAACAACTTTAATTGATACAATTATAATTGGTGTGCAATGTGTCTTACAACAAATGTGGATACAATGACATCAGATACCAAAGAAGTTTCCTGTCTTTCCAATGTTTGATTGACATCGGCTAACTCACCCCAAGAGAGAGAAATCTGGCATCGATCTCTTGGTTAGCATTATTACCAATATCAAATAGCATTAAAAAAATCAAAGTTGAAATGGTACATTCATTTGCCAAAAAAAAAAAAAGTTAAAGGCAAAAAAGGTGAATCCACGTGCAAATTAGCATCTGGCCTGGTTGCAAAATTCATTTCCCAGATGCGAGGGACTGAACCATGCACTTGCAAGCAAGATGAAGGGCAAACAGATAGAATCAAATCAAAATCAACTCCACAAAGAGTCCAGAAGACCTCAGAATGATAATGGTCAGAGGTCTATCTCTGTTAGTGCACAAGTATCTGTTCTGTGTCACCCTAACCTGATATTGACTCAGGAGGTTGTCACATTTATGTCCTGGAACATCTTTTCATCTGGAGATGGAAACCATTGCTTGTGATCCCAGGCACGGTGAACCCTGCAGTGTGTCAGCTGCTCTGGAGTGGTGGTGGTGGGGATAGTCCAAAGGTGTAACAGTTGTATAATGTGGCTAGGACACAACTGGTTCGTTTTATAGAATAAGTAAAAACAACACACCAGTAATACCAAACAAGAAACTGAGATCACTTATATATCTATGCAATACTTAAAATGTCTATAAATATTTTTCTCCAGAAACTGAAAACACTGTAGACATTTCATTAATCCTCACAAAACATCTGTGAGGTAGCATGAGGTGAGGTTCACATGAAAGCATCACCCCCACTTTAGAAATGAAGACACTGAAGTGCAGGAAAGGCAGGGGATTTCCTTGGGGCCACAGAAAAAGAAAACATAGTTGAATTGCACACTTTCATCATCTGCAATCTACAGTTGAAAAGAGGCAGCTGGCCTCCCTCCTGCTTTGACATCGCCTCTAAAGCTTTATGATTAGAATGATCCACAGATGAGAAGTGGTTGCTTAGACCAGCTGGAACCATTTCCCTTGGGTAGACCCGAACAGAGTCTCCCTGAGGTCAAGGATGTCAATTATTGACACATATTTCAGATGTGTGCGTGTTGGGAGTAATATTTGTAGAATACAGTTGCTAAAATCCTTTGGCCAATTCAAAAGCAGAAAAGATACATCTGGCAAAATCCCGTTCAACTCTTGGGCATTGCACACTAACATAACAAGGAGTGTTTGTATGGGACACTGTCACCTTGCTGAATACATCTGCCTTAGGCCCAGATACCTCTCTTTGCCATAAGCATTTGGAAGTTAACAAGAACTGCAAACCCATAATGAGCTCTTGCACAACAGCAGCCTTTGGTAAGGAAAAATGCTTGCTGAGTCCATGGTTGATAATAGGTCAGGGTTCTTGGGGCCATGATGATCCCTCTGACCCAATATTTATGGTGGAAACAACACTCAGAAGTATACCTCTCTGAAAGCATTTCTTGGATTATTTTGTCAAAATGTTATTGGGAGAGGGTCTCTTGACAAACTGAAAGCCCTACAAAGGGTAGGGTTGGGGAAGAGATGTGAGGCAGAGGGAACACCCTTGGTCATACTTTGCCATTTTTCTAAGAAGATGCACTATTTTGGTCTTTTGATTTGAATATTACCACACCTTTGGGGGTCACTCATTCTCCTTTGACCCCTATGGAGTCTAGGATTTTTTTTTTTTTTTGAGTAGGAGTCTCACTATGTCACCTAGGCTGGAGGGCAGTGGCATGATCAGGGTTCACAGCAGCCTCAACCTCCTGGGTTCAGACTATCCTTCTGCCTCAGCCTTCCATGTAGCTGTGACTACAGGTGCAGGCTAACAGCCTTGGCTAAGTTTTCATTTTTATTTTTTGTGGAGACAAGGTCTTGCTATGTTGCCTAGGCTGGTCTCAAACTCCTGGGCTTAAGGTATCTTCCTGCCTTGGGATCCTCCTGCCTCCTAAAGTCCTGGGATTACAAGTGTGAGCCACTGTACCTGTTCAGGAATAATTTTTTTTTCAGAGTGTGGGATGGCAGGTTGTGGAAAATGGCACTGCTCTTAGTGTCTATGTCACCTGAGGGGTTTAGAAAGCAAGGATGGTTTTCATATCTGTGCTGGGCCAGGCTATAGCCAGTGACAGCACGAGCCAGGGTGGGGGTCAAGTTCCTCTAAATAAAACAGAATTGGGGCAGCAAGGTCCAAGTTTAGAAATAAAAGTTGATCCATTTTCAAGTTCTTTATGACATTGCAGAACAATATAACACTTTTGGAAATAGGAACCATATTTGTTTTCTTCTACATGAAACCCGGAAATATGCTAGTTGCTAGTATCAGATGTCATAGGAGGACAGAGTTGTACCTATGAAACAAAGCTCTCTAGAACACACATACATATAAAAAGGTTACCATGCATGCCCAGAAGCAGCCCATCAGTCAACAATCTAAATCTTTTGGCGATAAAAACTTAGCACATCTCTTCATTTTGGTAAAAATAAAACAGTATTACTAATCTTTAAGTGTCTTGTTCTGTCATGGTGGACACTGTGATAAATCAGGGTTTCACGGTCTCAGCAGTACTGATATTTTTGGCTGGATAATTCTTTTTTTGTGGTGGGTTGTCCTGTGCATGGCAAAATGTTGGCAGCATTCCTGGCCTCTACTCTAGTAGTACATCCACATCCTGACAATAAAAAATGTCACTAGACATTTTCAAATGTTCCTAGGTGGAGGTGAGGGACAAACTCACCTTCTGGTTGAGAATAATGGCAATAAATGGATGTCTATGAATTCAGGCAGTTCTTTCTTAATATTTTTGTGCAGGATTTTCTGTATACCCAGGAGTGTTCATTTATTAAAGGGAAGAATTAGTAAGGTAAACATATGGGAAGAATAAATGGTTTAATCATGGTGTCTGTTTCCCATGGAAATGCCTCACTGAGCAATTGCAGATAGGCTACTGTCTCTTACCCCATTTCCTTCCTTCCTTCCTTCCTTCCTTCCTTCCTTCCTTCCTTCCTTCCTTCCTTCCTTCCTCCCTCCCTCCCTTCCTCCCTCCCTCCCTCCTTTCTCTCTCTCTCTCTTTTTTTTTCTTGACTGTTGACAGCCATTATCCAACAGACAGTAAAGCCATGGACCAGCTGCTTTATGGATATAAAGTAAGGATTCTTTGGGGTCTTCCAAGCAGTGGATGTCTTGGCCCATTATTGATGGCTGATTCTACTTGCCCTAATGAGGTATGCACCATCTTCCCCCACAGTCTCTTCCCTCTCCCACTGTTACACACTCCACATGGCTCTCCCTTTCTTTCTGTAACACAGCTCATCTCACAGGCATTTCCTCTAGAAACTCAATTCCGCTGATAGCTTGTGGGCTGGGATTCCCAGCTGCATTTGAACAGAGTGGGCATCTTTTGCGGAGCCAGGTAGAGGGCACGCTGAGATCCCCAGCAACCTGCTACTTTGCCCTTTGGCCTACTGGCCTCCTCCAGGTGCTTCCTATTTTCATCTTTAATTAATTAGGCAGCTAAGAAGCTACTCTGCAGCTTGTACAGCGAAGCAGGCATCCTGTCAGATACAACCAGGTAAATAGAGATTAAAAAGGAATCTGAGATGCTCCTGCTCCCTCGCAAGCAGGGTAAAATCCTCCTAAGACTCATTTCCTTTCCCCTCATTGATATTTCATGTAATTTCCTAAATAGGAGTTTAAGAAATGCCACAAACAAAAGGTTCCCCTGAAAGTAACCCCTGACAAAGCAATGCAGTTCCTCTTCCTTGGTCCTTCTCAAAGTGGGTTCTGTGGCAGGGACAGAAGCCTCCACTATGGGGATTGTTGGCCCGTTTTTGCTGCAAGTCAGCCTCTACTCACCTTTAAACAATGGTTCTTTTTGTACCAGAAAGGGGAAGTTGTAGCAGTCAGAGGAGAGAGAGGGAAACAAAAACAACCATACCAACAAAACGGGGCTTAAGATTGTCGTTCAATGCATATCAGGTACTTGTTATTAATTCTACTAGATAAGCACTTATAAATAAAGAAAAGTTATTCCTCGTCCCAGGCCATGTTCCTTTGTTAGGAGTCATCATACAGAGGGTTGTTGTAGTTTCCCCAGGATCCGTAGTCGTGGTCGTCCAAAAGCCTTCCGTAGGAGGAATGCCTGGTAGAGAAGGAGAAGAGAGTTGTGTTTACTTGGAGACGTTACCTGTCTGAGGAGGGCCAAATGCCCTGCACTAAACTGGGGCTGGGGATGGGGGTGGGTGTGGGGAGAGTGGTTCATGGGGTCAATGAGAAGGAAAGACGGGATGCTCCCACTAGGATAACAGGCCTACCCTTGGTGGAAGCCCTGGTCTACCAAACACTCTGTCAGTGACCCCTGATCTTGCTGGGAACCCAGTGGCACCTTCTGTTGAGATCAGCTGGGTCCTTCTCTCTCTCCTGGATCTCCTGTGCTGGGGAAGGAAGAGGAGGCTCTATTTCCATGGCAATTACTCAAAAGGGAAGGGAAAGGGAAGCTTGCATTCCTAGTATTCTGTCTTAGGTGTTGGGCTTAATTTTCTCTGAAATAATAAAGACATGAGACAACTCTTGCTGCTGTCACCAACTCTCCTGACATTTATATTGTGGCATACTTTACACAGTGCTTCTCTATTCAGTTTTTTACTTGACTCTCAGAATAAGGCCATGGGGTAGGTATGTTTTATCCTGACTTCTCTTGCAATGGAGCTCAGAGATGTAAATTGAAGTGCCCAAAGTCATCCAACGGAGCTGTGAGTCAAATCCCCTGCCCCAAATCCAGTACTCAGAACTCAAATTCTGAGAGTCTGAACCTTAGTCCAATGGCAACATGGGTTAAGCTGAATTTGGTGGGTCATTCTAGAGGCCTGTCTCACAATTCATACTATTTCTGTCAGAAACTGAAGTCAAATTGTTAACACTCTTCTGTTTGAATGAATCCTCATCTAGGAGTAAAAGTTGAAATCATTACACTGGTTGGCAAAGTCCCGAGAGACCTGGCTCTTACTTTCTGCCACACATCGGTTCCTATTATGGACCCCTTGCTTCCTCTGCTACAGCCACACTGACCTCCTTCTCTTCACTCTTTTGCCTGGCCCACCCTAGCTTCAAGGACTTTGCATTGACCATTCCCTGGCTTGGAACCACTGCCCTTCAGATCGCTGCACAACTCATACCTTCATCTCCTTCAAGTCTTTGCTTAAATGTCACTGTCTCAGTGAGGCGTTCCTTTAAAAACTCTATTTAAATTTGCAACCCCAACTCCTAGCATGTCTGCTTAATTTTTCTTATAGGAATGTAACATACTCTACCTCTAACATACTCACCTTTTAACATACTCTATCATTTACTTTATTTTGTTATTATATTTCTTCCCTAACTAGACTATAAGCTCCAGGCAAGTATGGATTATTTGCCTGTTCTGTTTATTCTTGGTGTTAACTCCAGAACGTAGAAGAATATTTAGAACATAATAAGTCCTCAATAAATATTGGAGAACAAATAGTGATTGGAAAAAATGTATCCTGAGTTCTCCCCCAAAACCAATCTGTACACAAAGTAGGAGCTTCCTGGAAAGAGGGATGGTCATTTTAACAATAAAACTGACAGGATTAGAAGAACTCCACAAAGTGAGCATCTGGTGCTTCTGAGGTTCATGCTAGCCTGTGAATTATTATGTCTTACCACTGGAAATTATGTATGCTAGATATAGTTCAAAAAAGCATGCCCTTAATCTTTTTCTCAGCTAGATATGAAAATTAAGCAAAATGAAAATACAATTCAAGAAGTACAAAGAGCATCTGTCCTACTTATATCTGCTGCTAAAATAATTGCTATTGCTCTTTTGAAGCTTACTTACATCTGCCAGATATTTGCGAAGAGATGATTTTTGCAAAGAACTAGGCCCTGGCTGTGCTCGTTTCAAACTCTTAGCCTTCAAAATTCTGATTTATGTCCTGAAGGCTGACCCAGGTGACCCAATTCATATACCTAGGAACATGAAGATGCCCTGCAATTTACTTTGATTTCCCTGGAGGACCACATTCATTTCTGTGGGCATGGGAAGGAAAGAAATTACAGATAGCCATCCAGAAACACTGCTGCATTTTTTATCTATTGAAATTAGAAAGGGAGTTTTGCTAAACGCAAGTCACACGCTATCTATGGCCAACACTTTCCCCAAAGGTAAAACCTCCAGTTCCAATCAGACTTAGAAGGATAGATGAAGAGTGGAAGCTCCAGGATGAGCAGGTAGAAACTGGTGATTATGGCATTGGACCTAGCCTACGTTTCAGCACGACTTTCTGTTGTACACCTGGCAAACAGTGACCTAATAAATGTGTTCTTTCATTGGGAGGGTGCTCTGGCTTGACCTTTGCATGGCAATTGAGCTCCTCACAGCAATTTTATCTTTATCATGTAATTTTACTCCCATAAAATGTCAGTTTGTTCAATAAATGTATGACCTTTAGTAAGCATTTATAACCCCCTATTTCTTCATCTATAAAATGGAGAAAATTTAAAAGCATTTATGTTAGGGTTGTTAGGAGGATTAAATGAGGTAACACATAGAAAAGGCCTGACACACAGTAAATGTGCAGTGAATGTTATACAAGCACGTGAGAAACCTGCAAATAGTAAAAAATGGGGTGGAGTGCAAAGTGAACCACCCTCCTCTCAGGAATTCCTGAAACTACCTCCCAATCATAGTTATAAAACCAGTTTCTTATGTTATTGTGACAGTATTTGAATTTTTAAAAATTATTATTAAGCTGGAATGGGGTCAGAGGCAACATAGGGAAACTCTGTTTTTACCAAAAAGTTGTTAAAACTTAGCCGAATGTGGTGGCATGCACCTGTAGTCCCTGTTACTTGGGAGGTGAGGTGGAAGGATCACTTGAACCCAAGAGGAAGAGGCTGAGGCAGTGAGCTGTGATTGTGCCACTGCACTCCAGCCTGGGCAACAGAGTGAGATTCAGACTTGGGAGGAGGGGTGTGGGAGGGCAAAGACTGGTCTTTACTTTCATATTTCTTTGCCTCCCCTTTGGGAGGAATAGCGAGTTGTGCAAAATGCTAAATAAGAAGAGAGAGGCACATGAAATGGATAGACCAAAGCTGGGAAAGTGCTGACCCCATAGGGCTGATTTAATACATTAATGAACCTGAACAAGAAGAACCGGGTGTGCTGGGTTTCCAATCAGGTTGGGATAAACTTGGTACTGATGTAGACAGAGTAAGACAAATACATCTGTGTGTGTGTGTGTGTGTGTGTGAGAGAGAGATAAGGGGAGAATAATGAGTGAGCATGTTAAACCTTCTCTCTAGGTCAGAACTTCTTAAATCATGGCACATTTTGGATGGAAATAGGCAGATTTTCAGATTGGCATTTGCAGAGACTATGAGGTGAAACAAAACCAAAACCTCCCCCATCTGAGATGAAGAAGGCAGGACCAGAGGGATTTAGAGGACTTGTCAATGTTATTGAATGTTAGAGCTGCTGTCGAAACAAGGTCCTCGCCTTATAAGACAATAATGCTTCATCTGTTTTCAAACTGAAAAGCAATCATACAAATGGTGTTCTTGTCAAGTCAAGTAATTTTGTTTACTAAATTTCTTAATAGATGAACAACGGTCTGAAGTAGCTATGTTTTGAGTTTGCTGTACCTCGGCTTCTCCTAGATGGAAAATTTCTTGGGGGCAGACTATGTCCTACTTTTCTTCTAAGTACATGAACACCTAATATGTTTTTCTTGATGCAATGGTTATTTTATAAATATTTGATGAAAACTGCCTCCACCCAGTAGTATGTAAATAGTCTATATGGAGTTTGCTTGGTCATTACCAGCAGGGAATCGGATGGCCTGTGGCAACTCATTGTACAATACAACGGTGGCAAAGTAAAACAAATCTCATGAAAACTTTAACCATTAGCTACCATTTTGACTTTACTGATAGGAAGGGAAAAAAGAATTATGGTTAAACTCACATACAATAATGTGGTTTTAAAGCACTTAGCACAGGGATTATAATCCCTGTTAATCAATGGCACTGTGCTTATTATCAGTGTGGTTCTACTGTATTTTTTTTATGGTACTGTATTTAGCAAGAAAACTAAAACCTGAGGAGGCAAAATAAAGGATGACTTATTTTGAGCCCTTCCCTCATTACTCTCTTTTGATAGCAGCTTTGCTGTAATAGAAAGTGGCATTCCAGGCCGGGCTTGGTGGCTCAGCCTGTAATCCCAACACTTTGGGAGGCCGAGGTGAGTGGATTGCCTGAGCCGGTGGGTTCGAGATCCACCTGGGCAACTTGGAAAGACCTTGTCTCTACAATTAAAGAAAAAAAAATTAGCCAGGCATGGTAGCATGTGCCTGTAGTTCCTGCTACCTGGAAGGCTGAGGTGGAAGAATTGCTGGAGCCCAGCAGGTCGAGGCTATGGTGGCCAGGAGCATGCCACTGCACTCCAGTCTGGGTGACAGAGTGAGACTCCAACTCAAAACAAAACAAAACAACAACAAAAGAACCCAAGAAAGTGGCATTCCTCACTCTCTGCCTCCAATCAGTGATCCCTTGTTGGTGACAAATAGCAAGTATGGTGGTGACATTTGTGGTTTGAAGCCTTCTCCACCTGTTTTAAGATAACTATAGCATCATTACTTGATGGAACCCATTTGACTTTGAAAACGAGTGAAGTGTTTCCCTTTCTTTGTGTTGCAACAAAATACGTTTTAGAAAACACTTTCTCCTTTACAAGGGTGAGCCCCAGTTCTCCACCAAGTCTCCACCAAGTCACCTTGTTTTATGATTAGGCCCCCTGAAGTCCCTGCCTCTTGAGTCAAGCAAGTTTTGCCATTCAGCTGTCTGTGCTTATCATGTGCTAAGGATACAAAGAAATACAGAGGGGTGCAAAGATGATGAATACGTGGCTTAGTGCTAAAGAAAGCAGCTGAACTTGCAGTCCATTAACCATTAGTAATGAAGCCTTAGACTCTCATCATACATTTGCACAATCATTTGGTGTGGCTGTCACTGTCCCCCTTTTTTGTTTCCATTGGTGGTTCTTATTTTTCTGAGTGTCATCTCCCTGCCTGGTTCTTTCCATTTAACTATTGGAAACTTACCATCTATCAGGCCCTATTCTGG